GCCGCGTGTCTCTATGTTATTACGCTCAAATACAATATAATATTGCAGAAATTATCAGCACAAATTTTAAATTAATCAGTGATGTGACCCTAATGATATTTAAAGATCTGAAACTTTGTTGTACAAATCCAAGCATCTGAAAATATCTGAAGTCTCTCGCCCCGTTAAAGAAGTGAATACCACACAGTGGGCGGAAAATTTGCAGAACCAATGAACATTCATCACATATTAGAATTAGGGCAGTGTCAACGTAATATTTATTGACTTTATGGGCAGTTACTATGGACTGCAGAAATGTTTTGAGTTTATTTGGATCATCCTGTCTAATTTACAATATTTTGTAGTGTTTTATCTAAAGCAGGTCCCATATAAAGTAACTTATAAAGAATGACTGCTGTTTCTCCCTGATATCTAAAGCAGGTCCCATATAAAGAATGACTGCTGTTTCTCCCTGAAATGGGTGCATGGTGTAGTGGATCGTTAAGGATTGTGCCAAAGAATTCAGCTGTGACTTTCCATGGTGGAAGGAGTCAGGGGGTCAAGACCCCACACATTATTACCCGTCCGGTTAAGACTGACATTTCCACGGAAGGCTAGTACTGGCAGATAAGTTAACGGACTTGTTCGAAGTTCAATTTGAGGAAGATGATGTTAGTGTATTTTGAAATGATAGTTCAGTGGTGAAACTATATTCTTAGCATATTTATGTCTGTGAAATCAGTTTCATAGCCGTGATAGAAATGAGCACAAAGAGACTACAGCTTTCATTCTACATTTTTAATCCATAAACTCATGCTAATAGATGTAACGATAGCAAAGTTGTCATTTTTAATCTTTTGTTAAACAAAATATCTAGTCAAGTGCCAAGTAGTTGATAGTGAAGTATTTTTTTTTTTAATATCCAGGCTGGTGATGGCTTATTCTCTATGTGTGTTATTGCGTTGGTAAGAACTGAAAATATGATTGCCTGGGTAAGCATAAACAAGATGTCATATATGCCAAAAATGTCTTTGTACAATCATATGTCTGGCTTCAGAAGCTCTATATTCTATGTTTCAAAATGTTTTACTTACTTTCTCATGTACAATGTTTGGGTTAGTATTTATTTCTTAAAGAAAACTTTTACCTACTTTAAGGTTGCTCCAACATTCAGAACTAACAGATGTTTGGTATTTATTTCTTCTATTATTTCTAGGGCAGATGAGAGTGCCGTATTGCAGCATAATGCTTTGTATTATATAAAGTTCTATGATCAAACTTTGATTAAAGAAACTGTAAATAGTTTGAGGTCTCATTTGTACACGTTCGATTAAAAATTGACATCTTGTATTCTGAAGTACACTGTAAACTGAGTGGATGCTTTTGCTGAAATGACTGCCCTCAGAACAGCACCCAAGTTCTTTCTCGTCTTCCAAAACCTTGCGACAAGTTTTTTATGGTTCGTCAATTAATGAGGTCTTATACATAATACAGCATCTTGAATTCCTTCATCGTCAATTCACACAACACTATCAAGTGCAAGTCTGTTTGTTAATCATTCGACATATTATTTATAAACCCTTTGAATTCACATGTACAATTTGTATATTAAATTTTGTGTAGGAATGAAGAATTGTATTTTGAAACTGGGATTTTCATATTCCAAAGATAATTTTTTTTAAAAAATCTCGACAAATCCGTTGATGCGTTCTAAAGACGGCAGAAACTAAAAGCCGAATAATGAAAACAAAACAATTGAGGTCGTGTAATTTTGTGTTTGAGAGTAATTAAATTCTTGCCGTCTTTCAGATGACTTTAAAAAGTTTCGATAAGTATTTCATTTAACGACATTTTGTACACCTCAAGGCTTGTTACTGTTGATAATAAATTAAGTTTAAGACAGGAAAATTTTATACGAGTCTGTCCGCCTGCCTGCCCTAAGGCTCCGAATTGGACTCATGTTCGACCTTAATTAAAGCATAAAGCACGTTATCATAGAGTCGCATGGAGAAGTGGCGGTATTGCTCTGCACAACTTTCGTCTTGGAATTACATGGAGGTGAGTGACGCTATGGCATATTTACCCCGAGGAAGAAACCTACAGCAATTACTAAATAGAAGACTTTATGGGCGAGCCACACAGCAACTCCTCTTACTGTAGCAATTCTGACACTTCCTTATTGGAGAAGGGTGGAGGGGACAGATTCCTGAAGGTGTGGAATGTGCCATGATCTCTGCTACAAGTTTTAGATTCATTACATTTGTAATAGTGTTCGAGATAGTGATATCTCATGGAATGCTAATTGTATAAAAAGGCCTGCTCTCATATCTGCCAAAATTCTCAGAAACGTACAGCAGCATTTCTTTGTCTTAAAATTGAATTTCCTTTGTTTATTTTTAACTTACTGATGTAACTTCTTGTTTATAATGAAGCCTAGCATGTCATATGAATCTTTTTTTATATATTCCGAGTCTGGTAGGAAAAGGTAATGTCAGTGTAACATTAAATTAGCAGGATATTTCCCTGGATTCACCACATATTACCCATGATCCCGCAGGATTCCCTAGTAACCCCCGCCCAAGATTCCCCACAAGGATCCCCACCAAAAAATCACCATATTATCCCACATGATCCCCAGACAAGATTTCCGAAGTATTCTCACACATAGGGTTCCCCAGTTATCCCTCCATGATCCAAGTATGCATCGAAGATTCCCCCTGATCCCACAGTATTCCCCCCACACAAGATTCCCCATGGTCCCGTAGTATCATCCCCCACAATGACCCCCATCGCAGTTTTCCCAAACAAGGTCACTGCCAGGATGTCCCATTGCAGGATCCCCCACTGTCTCCGCCCAGGATTCCCTATCGCACGATCCACAGCAAGATTCCACATAAGGATTCCTCAACCAGGATTCAAAACACGGATAGCGTCCCAGGATCACAGCAGGCTTCCCCACCCCAGGGGCACCCCCAAAAAACCTCCCCACGAAGGGAGGTGGAGGCCCGTGAGTGTTGTTTTCGGAGTAGAGGCCTTCAAATTTTTGAAGTTATTTCGAAAGTCATTTTTCTGCCGATCTGCGGAATCTGAGTGACAACATTTATATCAGTTGGAGGTCACGCACAGGTCACCGTTATGTCATAGTCACAACAATATCTGTACGTGAGTGTTCCGAATAGAGACATTTAAATTTCTCATGGTCATTCGAAGGTCATATTTTCAAACGCTTATTTCTGCCGATCTGTAGGAATCTGAGTGACAATACTCATGTTAGTTTGAGGTCACGGAAAGGTCATGTCATAGTCACGTCAAAATAAGTACCAAGGTATTTCTAAAGTAATTTTTTCAATGTATTTTTTCTGCCGATGTTATGGAATCTGAGTGACAAAATTTATGTCAGTTGGAGGTCACCGTCATGTCATAGTCACGACAATGTCAGTCGGTGG